ATTTTGCCATTGATTTTAGATATTTTCATTGTGCTTTCCTGTGATGAATATTTTGCCATTGATTTTAGATATTTTCATTGTGCTTTCCTGTGATGCTCATTTAAAGAACAATTTGAAAGGGTCCAAAAAAATAGAAAATACTGCCTCTGCGTCATTTAACTGTCAAGTGTCAGAATTATTTCCTGATGAAGTTTATAAATAAACATTATTATTTTTATTAATTTTCAGTGGTTTAATATAAATTCAATAAAGACAGAGCCAGAATTAATCTCAGAGACGTACCTATCTTTGTATCTAACTCAATTACAAGCAGAAGGTGAGTTGTTAGCTAGAACAAGTCGAAAACCTTAGATATAAATGAATTGGAAGGTGACAGGATGAATGGATGCTAGTACATATTAACTGGAAGGAAGGATAGTAATGACTTCTAGGTAAATCTGTATGCATTTAATTTGGTTGGAAAACCTGATAAATGGGAAATATGAATAGGAGGAAAGATGATTTGATGGAGAGATGCATGGATGGATCTAGATATTGAATAGTTGTAAGAAGAGATACTAGCTAAAAACTAGTGTGAGCTGTGTCGGTGTTTCTAATGAAACAGTAATGATAAAAGGGTAAATTATATACTGTGAAAAGATGAAAAAACGTACTTACTTTTCATGGTGTATAATTTACCCTTTTATCATTATTAGATATTTGGTTTGATGGAGGAATAGAAGGAGGATAAATGGGGAAAATAGATGGATGGGAGGAATGATGGTTTGATGGAGAGATGCATGGATGGATCTAGATATTGGATAGTTGGTTGGATGGACGGATAGATGGAGGACAAATGGGACATTGAATGAATAGGAAGAAAGATGGTTTGATGGAGAGATACATGGATGTAGATATTGTATAGTTGGTTCAATGGATGAATTGATGGAGGAGGAATAAATAGGAAGGAATAGGATGGTACAGCAGGTGAAGGAAAATTGAATTCTTGAGAATGGAGGGACAGGGTGGTAAGAAGTGGTAAAGGAAAAGTTGAGTCATTAGGACAAAGGGAAGGAATGAATGGGATGGGAGGAAGGCTAAAGGAATTTTGGACTTTACATGTAGGGAATGAATGGTACGTGGTAGAAATGAATAGGATAGGATGGGAGGAAGAGATTAAATAAGTGGTGTCTATAAAGTTGAGGGGATTGAATGGTCTTAGAGTGCAAATCAAATACACAAGAGAATGTGTAAGGAATGTTCTGGTTGAGTGATAGCAACTATTAGTCACTAAACAGCACTTTTTGTCAGTAGAGTGCAAACAATATATCCGTGAAACACAAATTACTAAATTGTTCAAAATAGTGCTTATTAAACAAAAGAAAACAATAGAATTAGCATAAAATAGTGTAAGTTAGTATTACTAATATTTCACAGATATATTGTTTGCACTCTACCAACTTCTTTATTTCATGGTTTTATTGCATGTGCTCTACATGCTAATGACTTTACTCCATATCATTAAAATATTAATTGAAATAGTGTCGTATCCTTATTTCCAGGTTATTCAATATTTGTAGTAAAAGGCGACATAATATCATGCGAGGCTGACCAGCTGCTGAAGCTGTTTCCTGCCAAACCCAAGAAACAAACACCAAAACCAAGCAAATCAGGTCAGAGCCTCATTCAAAAATCAGATTTACAGTCGGCACTAAATCAATTACAAGGCTCAGGTAAATATACAGGGAACACAGAATTTTTCAATTTATTTTGCTACCAAATAAAATGAAATAGATAAATGTTCCTTGATTTTTGGGGGTTAATACTTAGAATTTAAAGTTATTTCCTCACGAGGGAGTTAATCAGAGTTGGAATTGTACACCTATACACAATTTTTAACATGTACATTTGCATCTCTATTGCTCTTGTAAACAGAATAGCTCTTACTAATTAAAACCAGAGAACTTGGAAAAAAATCTTAAAACATGAGAGATCCAACATGGAACTCTACTCACATATTGTGTCCCATCCATGGATTGCCCAACCCACAGGGTTTACGGTCATGATGCCCCCTTGTCATGACGCCCCCATCCATGAGGCCTCCAGCGTATACAATGACGCCCCTAGTCTGTACTACCATGACGTCCCCAGCATAACCAAGACGCCCCTAGTCTCTATTATACACACTCATTTAACAATTATAATTATCATTAGCTTCTTATTAAATGAGGGTTAATAGAGACTAGAGGTGTCATTGTTTATACTGGGGGCGTTATGGTAGTACAGACTAGGGGCGTCATGGTATACACTGGGGCATCGTGGATGGGGGCGTCATGACTGGTTACCACCCACGGTGGTGAAAGGTGGTACAGTACATAAGCAGCAAAAACCACCCATATTTACCTAAAGCTGTACTACTGCGAGCATGAATGAAGAACCTTTCAGTGTTCAATTATAATTATTTAATGAGTTGTATTTTCTTTTTAGGAGGGAAACCAGTAGACATTGATGAAGTTAGAAAAAGAAGAGAAAAATACTTTGCAAAGTGAGTGTTAAAAAATATTGTCTCATCCTTAACCTTTTCCTAAAAAAGGACGAAAATGTTTGACAACTGTTTTTGGGGTGCACATACAGATTGCAAGTAGATCAAGAAGCAGGAACCAGTACAAGTAGAGATAAATCTGAAACATCCCAAGATACAAGCCAATCTACACAACCTACAAAGGGTGAAACTCCTAGTACGACTACAGACGAACCAATGTCAGGTGAGTTCACCTTTTGATAATAGCTAAGTGGTTGGTAAGGTGTTGTTAAGTGGTTGGTAAGGTGTTGTTAAGTGGTTGGTAAGGTGTTGTTAAGTGGTTGGTAAGGTGTTGTTAAGTGGTTGTTAAATAGTTGCTAAGGTGTTGTTAAGGTGTCTTTAAGTGGTTGGTAAGGTGTTGTTTAGTGGTTGGTAAGGTGTTGTTAAGTGGTTGGTAAGGTGTTGTTTAGTGGTTGGTAAGGTGTTGTTAAGTGGTTGTTAAATAGTTGCTAAGGTGTTAAGTGGTTGGTAATTTGTTGTTAAGTGGTTGGTAAGGTGTTTTTAAGTGGTTGGTAAGGTGTTAAATTTTTGGTTAGGTGTTAGTAAATGGTTGGTAAGGTGTTAAGTGGTTGTTAAGGTGTTTTTAAGTGGTTGTTAAGGTGTCGGTAAGGTGTTAGTAAGTGGTTGGTATGTGGGAAACATATTTCATTCTAAAAAGTTAATACTCAGTCAAAGTAAATTTATTTTTTAGAAATGACAGAAGATGAGATGTTACAAGCAGCGTTACTGATGTCACTTGACTCAACAAACACAACATGACCAAACCACTTGTACAACAAGATATTATAATAATATTATGAACCAACAATATTATTAGACTGAGGATATTGGAATTTCACCTTTATAACTGTAAATACCCTGGTAATAGCACTTGTTGATAACAGCACATTTTGTATGGGCCTTTTCCAAGTTATGTTATGTAATTTTTCACAGAAATGAGATCTTTTAAATTAATTGTATAATCCAATCTTGAATGCAGCTTTTTTAAAATCAAATATTCAACACCAGCTTAGAAAACATTTAAATTGATTATCTTGTAAAACTTTGCTTCTTTTTCCTATCTCTTAAAAAAAGCCTTGTAAAATCATTTTTGAAAACCTTCAAGTTGTAACTTCCTGGTATGTTTGCATGTGACCTCTTTGTCTTGAGCACTAGTCTGCATAGCGGCACCTTAGAGGAGGGGAAGAGGACTGTCTACTTGATTGAGCACAGTTTTTTTTCTTTTCAGACCACATTATCTTGAGAATAAGATTATTTTGTCCATAGTTATATGTTTTTCATTCATTCTACTGTTGTCGTCTCCAGTTCTGCATACTTGTACAAGCACTTGTAAGTTCCTCCTTTCAGGCTACCAGTATTGCCCAGTGTTGCATTTCATTTACTGTGTGGATCTCGCTTCAGCTTTATTTTAAACACCACACATCCTTATACTTTTCAGATGATCCAAAATTCTTTACTTTCTTCCAACACAATTTTAGTCTTTTTCTTGGTATTTCCTTCCTCTTTCCTTTTCTTTTATCTGTAAAACACTTTTCAGATGGCCCAAAATTCTTCACTTTCTTCAAACACAATTTTACAGTCCTTCCTTTCTTTTTCCTTTTCTTTTATCACTTTTCAGATGGCACAAAATTCTTCAATATTTCTTCCAGTGCACCTTAACATCTTTTTCATGTTGTTTTCCTTCCTTTACCTTTGTCCAAATTTTGTAGCTTACCATAATTTATATTATTTTCAACTTTTATTTTTTTCTTCAGATACAGGAGTCTTTTTCCTTCCAAAAATCTTGTCTTTTATATTTCTTGCTTTTTCCTTCAATTTGCTCAAAATGTTTTTATTGGCAGTTTTGGGGTCAACATCTTCAAACCTTCTGGTACAGAGATTATGGAATGAACCAAATGCAATAGCAACCACTGTACAGGCCAAGCAGATGACATTGTATGGCATACTGAAGTCTGGTGTTGGTAGATTGAGAAGTAGGGTCTCTGTGTGCACACGGACAAAGTTGTTACTCCCCTCTGTGTTTGTAGGTGACCTGAGAATTAGGATATACATGTCATTTATTCAATAATTCCTTGCATTTATCCATCCATCCATCCATCCATTCATTCATTCTTTCCTCCCTCCCTCCCTCCCTCCCTCCTTCCTTGACTATTATGTGACTATTATGTAAAGTTTATATTTGCCCCTATGCACCTACCTAGTAGGAAACAAAAGTGTTGAATGCAGAGAGCTAGCAGTGGTGTTACTTGAGCTGCTGAGCCTAGCTGAGATCACTGCAGAACTGAAAAATGAAAAGTAATAAGAAATGTGATGATGCTAGCACTGAATGCTAAACTCAGATTTATGAGACTGTATGCAATGCTAGAGTTTTGGATTCTTAGGCCCTGTCCACAAGAATCCAGCACTTTAAAAAAAATTTTTTTTGCACGTTGGCCTTCCCTCTATCCACTTCCTAATGAAAATGGATATGTGAGGATGGGCTAAAAGAATTAGAAAATGTGGACATGAATTTTTGAAAATGGAATATGTGTATACAGATCTAAATGCACATCGAGTGAACAATGACAGTCTCTTGAACATGGGTATAATATTTTCCCGTTTCAGATCAAGTGTTATTCCCTAGAGTATCATTTCTTTGTTTAATGGTTGCACATTGTGGGAACCCATGCTAAAAAGGTTTATTGACCATGATATTGACTTCTATTAATAATCAGATGTTATAATGATTTATGATTTATATAGCGCCCTTTCTATATGGATATAATCAAAGGCACGTTTCCATTGAGTTGTGAATGTCAGGTTGCTTTTTATTCAATTTACAAATATGATATGGTTATTATCAGGAGTAGGCACTTAGGGTGGTCACTGCCAGTGTTTCTTAACATCCTCATTAGTTCTTTTGTCCCTATCATATTGGCTAGTAATGATGAAGTGTGGACAGACGTTACCGCCATTTAAAGTGGTCATCTGAGTCTAACCATTTGTAGTTGTTATTACAAAGGCAGCACTTTCTTTTTTGTCAGCTATTTTTAGACCCTGAGTGTTGGTCCAGCCAGCACGTGAATCACAACCTCCTGCATAAAAGTCTAATGCTCAACCAATTGAGCCAGCCAGTTGAAATTGAAATTAAGTTTCTTAACATTTGAATTAAAAATATGTAGCACTTCATGATTGTGATACCTGATGTAGAAGCCATGATGTGCATCAGGAGGGTGTTCAGTCCACTTTAGAAATCCTCGTTCAAACTGCATGCTCAATTTGGCCACTGACGCAGCAGGCATTGTGAAGAATAGCTCCAGCATGTATGGTCTTTCTCTGTCCTTTGCAGGCACAATGTGGACTTGATCTAAAACCAAATATACATGTAAAATATATATATTTGATATATGACGATATTAGTAACATTACCGTGGTGATTCTAGAAAACCAAGTGAACTGATTGGTCAAGAACTTCAGACTATTTCTCTATTAACCTAAGGTGAATATAGGATTGCACATGCATCGTCTATTGATGTGTCCCACTTTCAAAACTCTGGTTAGCTGTTAGGTTAACTGTAAACCTGATGCTGAAGATCTATAATATGTCTTAATTCTCGCAAAATAAAGTCGTCATCATCATTATTATATAAATAATCAAACTAAAAAAATATTATTAGTGGAGTCGTAACTAAGGAAGACAGCAGCAAGAAACCTTACCTGGTTTAATGATTTTCCCTTTTGCTTCAATCTTCAGAGTGTGTACAAATATCCTGACAAACCAATGGAAGGTAGCAAAGTAGACAATAGGTAACGGCTTTGTGGGATGGCTATTGTGTATCAGACACTTCACTCCCCCTCGTTCCTCACCATATCCTTTAAAAATAAAATTATAAAAATTATAATTTAAATACAACATGTATCAGGCAGTTTGATCACTCCCATTCATTCTTTGCCATATTCTTTGAAATAAAATTATAATAAATTTGAATATATAACACACGCTCTGATTGGTCAAAAACCCATGTTTAAGGAAAGTATCATGCTCATCAACTACAGCAGTGGCGCAGCTCAACAGGGTCGAACTGAAAGCATGCAAAGCACCTCTGGCAGCCGCTATACAGTCCATGTATGACCCCGGAGCACAGCTCTAACCGGTTTGAATTAGTTAGGGTTGATTTGAGAGGAGCGAGAAAAATTGAAGGGCCTGAAAAACCCTTGCAGTCAGAAAGAGAACCAACCAACTCAGTTCACATGCGGTGACTTGGACTTATGATCCTCTAATGTACTTATTAACTCCTCCCCCTTTGCTTAGCCAATAAGATTGTCTCATTTTAGGAGCTACATCAGAAGTTGAACCATGACTAGATTATCCAGGATCAACCCTATTATTTCTGAATACATGCCCTATGCCCTCCCATATAATTATCATATTCATAGGTAGTTTTACATACCTGTAATAAACTGATGAGCATGGAGTTGAGGTGGAAGAACTATTGAACAGAAAAAATTATGACATTTTATTACACTTTGTGTAGTTCCAGAAATTATCCATACCCACCCCACAGAAGAATTTGGAATTTCCGAGGGCTAGGGGATCAGAGACCTTTGAGCTCCCCTAATTCCTTTGACCTCCCCTCAGACCTTTGACCTCCCCTCAGACCTTTGACCTCCCCTCA